GGTATGAAATTTAATGAAACATGTACAGATGGAGAGTTTAGATCTGAGAATCATGTGTGGGTATCATAATGCAAATAATTGGCTTTCTTTCTAAAGAACATCTGTTGAAACATCTGAAAGCAGTTGTTTATATTGCTGCCAAAATGCTGAAAAATATAATAATTCTCCAATGAGGTTAGAAATATCCGGGGGAAGAAAAATACTTTTTATGTACTTCTGTTTTTATTAAATCCTGTTGTTGTTTCTCTAATATGGCACATAGGAGATGCTCAATAATATTTGTTGAATGAATGTTGAATAAATAGCAGAGACTCATTAAACAGTGGTTGAATGAATCATTTCCTTTTTTTTTAGACGCATACTATACATTTCAGAAAATAGTATGCCCTAGTTTTACCATGTCGTTAGAGTATTGCTACTCTTGCTTCAATGTATATCTATAAGGAAAAAATATCTTAATATATTATGTTTACTGATTATTATGACACATTTTTAAAATTTGAATGGTGGGCTGGCATAATTATGTTTGCTTTAAGAAATAAAATAAAGCACCCTGCTAATGTCTAAAGTTGGGGTTTCTCTAAAAAGACTCAAACTTGGGATTTAAAAGCACCAAAATATTCTGGAATTGGAAGAAGACTGCAGAAGATAAAGAAGCCATTTCTCTCCTGCTCCCTTCGCAGAATTTCCAGCAGCTCTCTGTTCTGTACTGCTGGTGAGTGAGGCAACTGGGCTCCCTAACGGCTGCCCAAATTTCACTCTGCCAAGTTTCAGTACAGAAAGAGCATGCTAAATAATAAATGTGAGTTTGAGTGTAACTAATAAAATTAGAATGTTAAAGAGCAGCATGCTTTTGAAAACCAGCCCCCGTCTGAGGACGCTCCCTGTGTAAGTCCACGGGAAATAATTCTGAAAGGAGTGACATTAATTAGTAATATAATTTATCTTCCGGAAGCCCTATCCTTTGATGGCCGCCATGGCATAGTTCATAAGCCTCTAAGTGAGTGCTCAAAGAAAATGGTTCAAACTACAATTTCAGCTTTGTTTTCCATCCTGGAACAGATAAGAGTCAAATTTACTTCAGTACATCTTACTTTTACAGGGTCATCTATGTGATGGAGGATTTGGAAGTTGTAAAAAATGTATTTATGAGGAGTTTTCAATGAAATGCTAAAATGCTTGTAATAAGAGGGAAAAAGAGCAGAATCCAAATTAAATCCATGGCCTCTGATCTCAGATTTCTTGGGTTCAGAGATCGCTCTGCCATCTATACTAATAAAAGGGTAATATGCTAATTGGACCGGGAGACCGGACATCTTCCAACCGTCTGACTTCCTTCCAGACAATGCCACGGTGGTGGGGGCCAAGGCAGAGGCAGTTGGGGGCCATGAGGCTGGCAGGGGAGGGCAGTTGGGGGCCATAAGGCCAGTAGGGGAGCAGTTAGGTGGCGATCAAGCCAGTAGGCAGGCAAGCAGTTAGGAGCCAGTGGTTCTGGATTGCGAGAGGGATGTCCGACTGCTGGTTTAGGCCCCTCCGTAGGGATGGGGCCTAAACCGGCAGTCGGACATCCCCCGAGAGGTCCCGGATTGGAGAGGGTGCATACCAGGCTGAGGAAGCCCTCCCCCCTGCACGAATTTCGTGCACCGGGCCTCTAGTGTACTAGATATGCAAATTCGGCAAGATACTTTGTGCTGTGCCTGCTTCCTAAACCTGGAAGGTAATAGTAAAAGTCATCACCAAACATAGAGAATGTCCAGAATAATGCCTGGCAAATTTACTCAATAAAAAATAATTATTATTACTTATTCACAATTGTTTTTTCAAGTTTGTAAAGGAAAAATGCAAGGCGAGGAAGATTACCTAGAAGGTAACAACCAAAATGTTATCAATATTTCCTTCTGAATGATTTTGGTGGGCAATTCTTTTCTACTTTATTACACTTTGCAGTATGTATTCTTTCAAATCAAAGTTTAAAATTAAGTTTTTTTGCACACATGGCTTGATGGAAATTAAGGTGGAAATTTGGAACAGGGTTAAAATTTATAACGGCTTAGACTACAGCATTAATGAAATAGTAAGTCTATTATACAGATGATGTGCCAGAAATTACATTTACCTTCCCTTACTTAATTCTAAATACATCCTAACTAGAAATTACTTTTTCAAGTTTAGCCACCAGGAATAAAGTCAAATGTCTCTTGTCATCGTAATATTTCGACCCACCAAAATGAAAATTATTATTTTTTTTAATTAAACAAAAATCCCATGCAGACGTCCCAAAGGTGCCTTTCACGTTTAAGCTTTGATTAGCAACCGCTTTGGTCCCCGACACAGACGGCACAGATATTTCCGTGTTCATATCACCGCGACTTGATTACAAAAGGCAATGATTAATTTCAAAGCAGGCCACAGAGACATGCCCTGATTACCGGGGGATGATTAGGGCGGAATGTCAGACCTCGCTCGTGTACAGCAGTCTCTGCCATAAAGGATAATGCTTTGCAAACGTTTATATTTAGTACCGCGGGCACTTTGCACTTTACACGACACCCGGCATTTGTGCGTTGGAGACCGATCACGCGGGTTCCAATCAGGCCCAAGACTCTGGGGCCACGTGGCCGCCGCAAAATAACCGAACGCGGATTGGCCCCGAGGAGCCGCCGTAGTTTCCCTCCCGCGTGGGGTCGCGACCTTCAACTTCTCCAGCTGCGAGATCCTGAGCCAGTCCACGTCCGCTGAGAAACCAAGCACTTGGAGGACCTTTTCTCTCCAAAGAGCAGGGCTGACCCAGGGCCGGGCTCAGTGGGTGAGCTTCGACCTATGAACCAGGAGGTCACGGTTGGATTCCCGGTCGGGGCACAGGCCCGGTTCGGGCTCGATCCCCAGTATGGGGCCTGCGGGAGGCAGCCGATCCATGGTTCTCTCTCATCATTGATGTTTCTCTCTCTCTCTCCCTCTCTCTTCCTCTCTGGAATCAATAAAAACATTAAAATACAGAACAAACAAACAAACAAACAAACTAAAAGCCGGGGCTGAGAGGTGCAGGCTGAGGACAGGAAGGGCTGCCGCACCGATGGGATGGCGGGGAAGCAGGGCCTGGGCCCCGGAGCCCCGCAGCCGGAAGCCGGGAAGAGGGAGTTTGAGGCCCTTGTCGCAGGGGGCGAGGGCGGAAGGAGGGGAAACCCGGCTTGTCGGTGGGAACCGAGGGAGCCAGGCCTGGCGCTGGGAACCTGGGGCCCTGGGACCCTGTCCAGCCCCGGCCTGCGTGGGCCTGGCCATTGGTGCGGGCGGGGGGTCCGCAGCCGAGGCCCAGCCGGACGCAGCCCTAGAATAATCCTCGGTTGCGCTTTCCAGGATCCTCGGACGCGGTTATAAAATATTTAAGGGCGACACCAGGATCCCGGAGCCGGGCCGCGATGAGCTTGGAGTCCTTGTTCCAGCACATCCTCTCCTCCGAGCACCTGGCCCAGGAGAGCCGCCGCCGGATGCGGGAAGGTCCGCGGGGCACCGGGAGGGTCGCGTGGGGCCCGGGGCTGGAGGCGGTCCCCCTGGGGGTTGGTCAGAGCAGCCGGGGGCCCGGGGCGGGAGGCGGTCCCCCGGGCGGTGGTCAGAGCAGTCGGAGGGGCTGCCCGCCGAGGGGAGGGAAGGGCCGCCGAGCGGTGCCCGAGCCCCGGCTCCAGCCACGGGCCCGGGGAGGCCGCTGTGCTGAGCCCTTTGCTTTGTCTGACAGTCCGGGCGGAAGTGAGCAGATGCCGGGACCACATGAGGAAAGCGACCGAGGAGCTGAACGAGGAGAAAATCAAGTTGGAATCTAAGGTATTGGCCATGGAGCGCGGGCTCCCTTCTCACGGGAAGAGGTGTTTTCACTTGACTTTGTGAAGGCGGTTTTCCTACCTAACTCGTTGCCCTCCCAGGAGGAGGCAGGCTGGCAGGCCGGTTAGCTAGTGCCCCGTTCCCCGGGGATGTTTAAAGTCCCGAATCCAGTGACACCGTCCAGTCTCCTATGAGTTTGTCCTAAAGAAACCAGGGTGAGCGATAAAGAGGTCACTGTCCATGTTGGGGATGGTTAAAGCTTGACGCGAGCGGAATGTCATTGGAAAAGAATGATTCCGTGAGCAGTCGGTGCGGTGCATGCGCTTTGAATCATCAATAATGTAAGAAGCGGACTGTGTTGATGCAACAACTGAATGTTACTTTCAAAGGAGTCTCTGTCTTCTGTTTTTTTTTTCAACTCTCTCCCACGTTTTGGACGTAACTTTTCACGCCAAAGCATGTGTTTCCTACTAGCATTTCTCCCTTTTCTGCAGCATTTGTAAAGTTGTTATGTTAAATAGAAGCGAGGGAATCTGATAGGTTTTTGAAGGGGGCGGTGGGTAGAATTTTGGGGAGGCAAAGCCGTAGGAGAAACACTTGAGGAGCTAGGGAGCATTTGGGCAGAAGGGAGAGAGATCTCCCAAAGCAGAGGGCTGAGGCCTGGGAGGGGGTAAGCCATTGCAGGCTTTTGATTGGGAACCTGTGTGAGAAAAGTGATTTTCAGAAGCTCGCTCTGAGCTCTGGGAGGATGGGAGCGAGGAACATCGCTCAGGTGTATCACAGCGAAGGCCTTGCTATGGGCAGGGGCAGACAGTCATGCAAAACTATTTCTTCAGCTCCTGAAGATTCACTAAGCAAGCAGTGGGGGATGGGAGATCTGTTTGAGGAAGTCTGTTTTCTTAAAATATGTCTATTTTAACTTAGCGCTGTGAGGAATTTCCAGTTCTTTTTTTTGAACAAAGTAACATGGATCCTCTCTCTACGCAAGAGCTTCTGCTCTTCCAAATCTGCTGGAACATCACCCTGAAGCCCTCCCTCGGGCATCTTGGAAGAGATGTTTTGTAACATTCAGTGCACTACCTTCCACCTTACAATTAAACCATAGGTCCAGTGTTTGCATCCACTTCACTATTTTGTAAGCACTATATCTGGAATTTTTTCCTTACCCATTCTTTATTTCCACTGCCTATATCCCATGCCTAGCACATAAAACATTAGCGTTTTAAGTGAATTAGTAAGTACCAATGATGAGATAATAGGGAGAGTAGTGCTGTCTTTTAAAATAGAATTTGGAACTGTTATTTAGTGAAACCTTAGGTCCCTATATGCCTGTGAGTAGTGGATAAACTAGCTGCTAAGAGCAGTGCTGAAAGCGAAGAGAATGGGCAAAGCATTAATAATGTCATAATGTAGCTTTCTTTCTCTTTAAAAAGAATGAAGATACTTTCAGGATTGGTGACTAGAAGCTATTAGAAGTGATAGGCAAAACGTATACAATTAGGTAATGCATAGCTAACACTTATTGAGCACTTCCTATATGCTGGCATTGTTCCATAGGCTATACCTGCATTTACTCCATTAATCCTGGCAGAATCATGTGATGGGGTACCATCCTTAGTCCCTCTTTCTAGGGGAGGAAACCAAGAGGTTAAATGACTTGTCCGTGGCATATAACTTAAACACAAACTACCATAATGGAAGTACAACAGCATATTTTATTAAAACAAATTTCTGAAACTCATCTTGAATTTCTTTTTTCATATATAATATTGTATCTGCAGCTTTTACATCTAGTTTAGGGCATTATTTTTAAAAGGTCACTTGTGTAAGTTTTTATACAGAATGTATTTTTCCGGGATTCATGAAGATACTGACCTGACAGGTAACAAATCAAATGTTAAAGAAAAAAATTTACTCTGAATATTTCTTTGAAAAAAATTAGGTTTACTCTTTGTTAGCAGGCTGTTTTGCTGGAAAATAGAAATGTAGCTTATTGATATATACACGTACATAAAAAATGATGACTCAAATATTTATACTTGAGATAAGAAAGAGCAAATCCCTAACATTGTTAGAAACATTTGCTGAAATTACTAATTAATATATTCTCATAAATGTGCATTGCTTTTTAATGAGCTCATATATGTGGGTACTAATACAATTGTAGCCTACTAATAAAATTAACATATGAGGGTCACAGTTCATATAATAGTAATTTGTAATTTAAATAATTTGATTTATAATATAGTCAAAATGGTATGTGTGTGTGTATATGTGTGTATGAAGGTTTTAAAAGTGGAAGCACAATTACAATGTAAGTGACTAATGGGAAGAACTGTAGAAGTAATCATAAATTGATTTCTTGTTTCTTTTATTCGCAGAATTAATTATATGTCTGCCAATAACAATGAAAATATATTTACTTACATATTTGACTTGGCATTTATTGATCAATTTATCAAGTAGAAGCAGCATAAAGAGAAACTAGAACATAATTTGAATAGGCCAGTGCTTGAGTTAGTTGTACAGTGATACATTCAGAAATATTTTAAGCATTTATTTTAGAAGTTGCTCGTGGTCAAAAAATGTATTTAGGAAGTACAATATTCACTTTTCTTTTGTTCTGTAAAACCCAGGTAGCATGTAATTAGAACTTGAATGATAGCATTTGCCTTTCAGGGCTCAGTGAATTCTTTAAAATATGTGGTTGCAAAAGTCTGATATTATATGGTATGAGTACATTGCGAATTGGACGGCCACGGTATGCCTGGTTAGGATTGGTAATATGCAAACAGAAAGACAAGAGCAGGATTTGCATTGATGCTTGCCTAGAGTTTCGGAGAGGTTTTCTAGCACTGATAACAGAGCAAATCAAAATTAAGGAATCTCAAAATATTTGTAGTTTCTTTTAAGCACCTTTAAGAATGTGTTAGGTTTTGAAAATGGTGTATCGTTAAAATAGTGTATCGTCAATCTTTATAAATATATATATCAAACCTAACATAGCACCATCCATTCTGAAGAGGAAGTAAATGGAGGAAAGTCAGAGGTGATTTTGTCTGTGTTTTTTCTTTTCCCAATTTTAACTTACTACAGTAGACATCTTAACAATAATAAAATATTATGAACTCTTAGCCTGGCTGGTGTGGCTCAGTGTTTGGGTATCGACCTATAAAACAAGAGGTCACGGTTCGACCTGGTCAGGGCACATGCCTGGGTTGCAGGCTTGATTGTGTATAAGGCAGCTGATCAGTGATTCTCTCTCATCATTGATGTTTCTCTCTCTCTTCTTCCTTCCTCTCTCTGAAATCAATAAAAACATATTTCTTAAATGTTATGAATTTTTAAAGTAAAATTATATTGAAATAAACAAGTAACTCAAGGTGCCTTCTTTTACTGCCTTACTTAAAAATGTACACATTCCTTTTCTTTAATTGATAAAAGTTAAGAGGCTTCTCAGAGCAGCAGGCAATCTCATATCCATTAGTACTCTATTACCTAATTAGGGAAAGAGCAAAATCACAAATTACTATCATTTATACTATTGAAATTGAGATGTTTATTATTTAAATTTAATCAAAGAAAACTTTATATCCTGCTTACATTTAATGTTATTTAAGGTCTCCAACCCAATTTCTAGTATTCTTGCAGTATACTAGTACTTGACTGAGGTCTGATCTTTTCTTGCTCATGTGCCACATTTTCTTATTATGAAGAGGAATTGTATATTTTAAGGAATCGGTGGCATTTTATTGTTCTGTTAAAAGCAGTACATGAAAAATCACTACAGTAAGCATTCCATTGTTTTATTTCGTGACAGAATAGGAAGCTGTAATGATAGGTAAGGTTAGATACTACCTCCTGAGTTGTCAAATAACATAGAAGTCACCTTATTTAAAAGTATCTCCCTAATAAGAGTCAGCTTAAGAAGCATCATTCAGGGGTGGAGTAGGGGGTAGGGAGACATTAACTGGGGCATTTATATGCATATTGCAGAGCCCATGGAGACAGTAGTGTGGTGAAGGCCTGGGAGAGGCAGGTGTGGAGTGGAGGGGGTCAATGGGGAAAGAAAGAGGACATGTGTAATACTTTCCACAATAAAGATAAATTAAATAAAAACACAAAATAATACTTGTGCTTTATTACTCTTTCCTTAATCAGCAGGTCTCTGGGAATGGGAGTTTTATTTGAGGAAAAGGGAAGAGTCATTTTTGGAGAATGAGGGTTATTTTGACAAGGGTGGAAAGTTGGCAATGGACTTTGGAATCCAGATGGGTTCAGAAAAGATGAATGAAAGAGGTCAAGGGCAAAGTGGGTACGTATCGCTGTGCCTGTGATCTTCATGCTGCTGGAAAGAATTTCTCACATAACCCTCGGTTCTTATGAGGTCTTATGAATTGTTTTGTCTGAATAACATTTCAGGATACGTTGAAAGGCTGCCTACCTCAGCTTCTTTGATTCAGACTAGTTACATGGCTTTAAATATAGTTCATTTCTCCTATAAATGATAGGCAATGTACAGTTACATGAGACAGAAAGCCCACATGTCAAAAGATGGGAGTGAATTTTTATTGTCTTAATTTGCTTCAATATTCATAGCCAGGAGAAGATAGAGAAGAGGAAGGAATGGGAAATATGTGACCATCACAGTAGGAAATAGATCAGATTGTTACTCTAAAATGATATTTTTCTCTTTATCATGAGCTTCTCTTCACCTCTATTTCTTGTTAAGCTTTTGTGTTTTATTTTGTTTTTGCTGTTGTGAATGGGATCTTTTTCATGCTTTTTAAAAATTTATTATTGATAACTAGAAAAGATACAGTCCTTAGTTTTTGTTGTTTATTTTGTTATTTTTAACAGTTTCTCCGTAGATTTTGTTAAATTTATTAGGTATATAATAATGACATTTGCCCAAACAAACAAGAGAGAGAATTGTGTGTCAGCTCTTTGTATAATTATATTTCTTATTCTTTTTTCTTGCCTTATTGCATTAACAAGAACTTCCAGGACAAACTTAAGTAGCCATGGTCTTACCAGGCATCCTGATAATCCTCAATGAAAAGGTGACAGATGAGCAAAGACTTGACTGAGGTAAAGGAACCAGCCACCAGGAGGCTGGGAAAGGGATTTCCAGGCAGAGAGCACCCAGTGCAAAGGCCTTGGGCAGTATTCCTAGTATGTTCTAGGAATAACAAACAGTGTGGCTGGAGAGGAGAGACTGAGGAGACCGGTGGAGATAAGATTGGACACGGAGAAAGGAGTAAGGACTACTCTGTGCTAATATTGAACTTTCCTTACTATATTAGGGTTACTGTGTCATAGTGAGTTATTCCTTAGGCATTGCATCTGTGGTGAAGAAATGTATTTATAAAAAATAGATCTAACTTTTTAAAAAACCTTAATATCTGCTATTGATCAAATATTCATTGATGTACTCTAGTGTTTAAAATGTCTTTTGTCTTAGTGATAATAAACACATTTTCCCCCAATTGGTATGATCTTACAAATATGAAATCTGCATAGCTCTCTCTGTTTTCTTATGTAAAGTTGCCTCCTATACTATTGCAGAGCTTTTAATCAGCACAATGTCAGTTTCTAAAGGCTGAGATTATTTTAAACAACAAGAACCAGAACAAAGAGTAGCTCTGTGCTTTGCTTACTTGGACACAAGCATTAATTTTAAAACCTCAGTCACTTTAGATTTTCAAGTTCTTATAGTAGAAAAATACCTACAGGCACCCAGGCAGCAAGAGTGACGAAGAGTCACAAGTCATGGCTGTGCTGAAACTGACCCAGTTGACCAGATAAGTCAGCTCAGTGGGAAAACTGTAAGCTCTGTTGAAAATCAAATATCCCAAGAGGAATAAAATAGGGAAAGGAAAAAGATCTTTTTTGCTGAGAGAAGCAGAATTATCCAGGGTTGGCACTGCTATAAATGAAAATTTTCCGTAACAGCAATATTTTCTGACAAAGCTTGGCTATTTCATATGAGAATGTAACTTTAAAGCTGCATGCAAATACTTTTCTTCATTTGTAGTCATAGAAAAGAGAGCGATGAGAAAGAGAAATTTGTGTTACTGCTGCGAGGGCTTCCACCCTTTTCTCTTTATTGTTTGTAGCCCCCTGGGGTCCCTGCGTAACTTAGGAAATAGAGTCAGTAACTTCAAAAATATTTAAGTCATGATTTTACGTCTCTTCTACTATCTTCCCAATTCTGATCTCCACCCATCACTGTTGCAACAAAAGAGAGGTAGAGTTTTCTGAGGATAATTTATTCTGTGAAATGACCTACCTCATCTTGTGATCCTATCAGTATGTTCAGGAATATTTACCTAAATTTTACATATCAGTAAATCTGGTTTTCAAACACAAGAATAATTTAAGAAATTAGTTGTGATAATAGAAACAAACAAACAAACAAAAAACGATGAGAAACCCATTTTGCAAATAGGTGGCCATGAAAAGCTATTTCAGTCCTTAAGAATTAGTAACTTATACTTGGTAGAGAGGAACTGGGCAGATCCCAAAGTTTTTGTCCCTTTATTCCATTAAAATATGTAGACTATTAATAATATTAGACCCCATGTGGTCTGCAGCCCTCACTGAATTGCTGTCCTCAACATGTAGTCAGCATATGTAGGCATCTATTCTTTCTGACGGTCCTGACTTGAGCTCTCCCGTGCCTCTGTCTCTATTATGCTGCTCTAAAATGAATGTTGTTGTAATTTTTCCATAGTTACTGATTGTCTGGGATTTTTTTTTAGGTAGATTAAAAGAGGAAAATGTTAGAAGTAAAGGATAAAGACAGGATAGTATAAGACAGAAAGGGGATAAAGATGAGTAGGCTGATTAATAATAATAAAAAAAAGCAGAAAAGACCTCAAAATGGATAATTCACATAGGATTTTAGAGAAAGGGGTATTATAGATATATCCTCCTTATCATTCTTTTGAACAACTGTCTACTTTTCAGTTTTGAGTATATAGGTCTTATTTTTCAAGTTATGATAAAATATTCTAATTCAGTGCTAATAGTTTTCTTTAATATTCTTTATTTTCCTTTTTAGAAAGCGAATGTCAGCTTAGTGGTGATTTAGATTTTAGTTGGTGATAGCTGGAACAGAACACCTTAATTTCTGAACTTGAATAATAAATTCGTTTAAGTCTTATTGTGAAATTTCTTAGTTTGATAACTAGTATTTTGTCAACTTGTGTGTTTCAACACAGGTCATTTACAACAGATCAATGGCAGAAATAGAATCAGGATTCAAGAATTTGGATTCTAACAGGCTTGATATATGAAATACCTTATTAGATGAAACCAAAATTTATCCAGCCCAATATTTGGTCTCAAAGCATTTTTGTAGGCATTCCTGGTTACCATCCATAATAGCAACTTGGAGATTTCGATACATACGCCAGCAACCTTCTTAATAAACTGGGATGGACCTACTCTTTGATAATTATTTAAACTTATATTCTTTCAATTTACACTATTATCAGGAACTGAAGTCCCTTTCTGATACCAGAAGTATTTATTACTTTGAAATAGTTCTAATATTTCCTTGTTAACATGATTTATAAGAAAGGAAGTCAGAAGATCCCTATTTTAGTCCTGGGCTTGCCCCTAATTAATTATGTAACCTTTGTTAAGGTATTTGACTTCTCTGGAACTCATTTTATTTGCATTTATATAATAATATATACTACATAGCTTTGAAGTATTTTTTATTCTCAATAAATGTGATGGAATTCATGATCAGACTCTTGTTTGCCATTGTTACCAATTTCTATATGATTTTATAGATCTGAACAGATGTTTTCTTTTTTTTAAAAAATATATTTTATTGATTTTTTACAGAGAGGAAGGGAGAGAGATAGAGAGTCAGAAACATCGATGAGAGAGAAACACCGATCAGCCGCCTCCTGCACATCTCCCACCGGGGATGTGCCTGCAACCCAGGTACATGCCCTTGACCGGAATCGAACCTGGGACCTTTGAGTCCGCAGGCCGATGCTCTATCCACTGAGCCAAACCGGTTTCGGCGAACAGATGTTTTCTAATCTGTATTATCAGACAGTGAAATATTAACTGCCCCATTCTCACTTCCCCCAATTTTAAAAGTACTCTCTGATTTCCTTTGGCCTTGTAAAATTCACCTCTCTAATAATCTTCTTCTGTTGCAGTGGTTCCCAACCTTTTTTTGGCCATGCCCCACCTGAACATCTCTAAAATCCTGATGCTCCCCCTGTGACACATAATTCTTATTATTCAAAAAGTGGACTCCTATTCACGTGGAGGAAGCCTCAAAGGCCATGAACTTAGTCTACACAAGCTTCCAAAGAACATGGCATCCATGAAAGAGAAAAATAAAAGAACAAAAGGACAGTTGAAGTATTGAGGAAGAAATCACTCAAAAATTGTTAAAAAATATTAATAATATGAGTGATATGAAAAAATAGCAAATAAAGTTTCAAAGAACTAAAATGCATAAATATGCATAAATATGTCACAATATATATATTTATATACTGTATACAAGGCCCCTAGGACCTTAAGAAGCGCAAAAAATTCACTGTTGAATAGTCAAATTGCCTCTTAAAAATAAAAAATCAAATTGCCCACCTGTGGGCCTGTGGCCCACATTGGGAACCACTGCTCTATTGATGTCTTTCTTAAGACAGAGTTGATGAGAACAGCACCAGGTACTGAAGGTGTGGGCAGATGTGCTATGGTAATATATGTGTGAGATCATATCTTCTGTTTAATTTGGGCTATTTTTTAAAATGCCAATATTTGTAGGACTTTTGAGCCACATCATTTCAATGTCTTTTAGGCCCATTGCCTTTGGACTGGACTCTTTCTAAGCTCTTGACTATTCAGTATCTTCTAGGGCAGAGATTTCACAGCCTGTCTCTCACAGCCTGACTTACAGCTAACATAAATCTTGCTTTCTGTAATTTAAATTAAATTTTTTTTTTCTGTGGAGATAAGAATAGCCCCAAACTAGGAGTGATACTTTCTTATGAGGGAGGGCCAGTACTGAACATTGTGGAAAGGGCATTTCCAGCCCAGCATCGTTTTTAGCTTTTATATATCACAGCCTTCTGACTTTTATTTCAACATACATGGTCTCAAGAGATGCTATTTTTTATGGCCCAAATAAAATAACAGTTACATGTCTAATATTAATGTTTACTATATCGCTTGCTAGTTGGAATCAATTGCGGTACTAAAGTAAAAAATAAGTTCTCAAAACCCACTTGAGGATTTTAGCAGATTTATGTTTTATTTAATATATAACTATCGCCATGGGATTCAGTTTTTGCTTATGGTTTGTAGCTTTTATTTCATTATTTTATTAGTCATATCATATCTATGATTTATTCATCCATATCTTTCTTATGAGTGATGAGAACAGAAACTTGTTCTCTTTTTAAGGCTGTCTTGAAGCAGATCTCCATGTGTGTAGTCAAAAACCTTTAGTGCCTAAGTGAAGAAATGTGCTAGATATTGGAAAGGAAAAAGAAAACAGATTATCTGCGCTTGAGAAGCCTATAGTTTTATTGGGGGAAGAGATTATAAATACCATAACTATAAAGCACTTACAAAATATTATAAGATAGTACATATTAAGTAAGGTGTTTAATGTGAATTATAATTTGTATTTGAAGATAGTACAGAACATGTTTTATACTATATAGAGCTGTTCTATTAACTAAGGTACCCTAAAATGTATAATTGGTTCATTTGGATTTCTGATTTTTTTTATTTTACTTTAAGGTTCAGCAGTTTTGTGAAAAATCCTCCCTCTTACAGCTTTTGAAAACTCATGAAAATGCCTTAGAAAGACAGTGCAGTGAAATTATAAACCAAAGGAGTATGCTTCTCCAAACCTTTGTAAGTCTCCAGCCACTTAGAGAAATCTATTTCACTAACTGTGTCTATTTGAATACATTTAGGTGTACTTTTAGAAAATTACCCACAGGCACGTTGGCAGATAGTCCTGTCAGATACAGAAAGTATTAAGTGCTATTTAAAAACAGTTGGTAGTTTGAAAGAGTATTTATTGGCAAGGATACAGTATGCAAATTATTTGTAATTGTAATAGCATGAAAGAAACAGTGAAACTGATTTGAATTGCTCAGACTTCTGAACATTGGTTTTAAGGCTTTTGAAAAGCAGAGAGGTTTGCACTGTAGGCATATTTATGGATGTGGGTGAAAAGATGGATTTTGTTTATCTTTTTATCATAAGTCAGAGCCAACAGACACAGTAGTTTTAAATGACAGGGGCAGTTAAGGAACATAACTTGTAATTAATTGACATTTCAAAGAAAATACATTATAAAATATTAAAAATATATATCTAAAGTCAACAGAATCAACGACCGGTGGTTTATGAATGGCATGGCCAGTTTCCAAATGTAGCTCATAATCAGTTGGCATTTCCTAGGGGAAAAAAAATAGAAAAATGTAGTAATGTTTGGCTTCTAGCTGTATCAAAAGTTTAGGTTCTAGCATTGTCCAAAGTTTTTGGAAATTCTTATTTCTACTGCATGTTGATAATTCATAAAAATGGAAGCTATTATTTAGAACTGAATTTGAAATGAATATATAATTTTGCTTTCATTGTATACATTTTAAAAGGTTTCCTTTGATTTCCTCGTTTGTGTCTCTGTTTTTTATAAGGCAGTAATTTCTTTGCATATAGATTTTTATATTCAAGTTCGGTCATTTAATTATTTTACTACCAAATTTATAGTGCAGTGGCAAAATGGAATATATGATTATAACTTTAATATAGAAACAAACACATATATAATGATGAGTGGTAGAGTTTCTACATCAATAATTTTCCCAAAACATTACAAATAAATCTTTCATGTGAAAATAGTTGGCTGTTATTACATAATAGCTTTAGTTTTTTATGAATATCACCAGAGAAGTAAAGCATTTTTGTGACAATACCGAGAAGTATAATGTTATATTTTGTTGTTAATAACTTCGAATGATTGCATTTTAAATCACAAAATAAAAATATTTTTGCAATTACTTCTTGTATTTGATCTTTTGTTTCTGCTTCTTAGGAGGCTACTACGAAAAAAGTGATAGAAGAGGAGGAAAAATTTATTAAGGAAATTACAGACTTCAATAATGAATATGAAATAACAAAGAAAAGAGAGCTTTTGATGAAAGAAAATGTCAAGATTGAAATATCTGACTTAGAAAACCAGGCAAACATTTTGAAAAAGGGTATGACTATATAATATTACCTCATTTATCTGGCATTAATGAAATTGAGCTTGGCTTCAGATATTTTTGGTGGAGATGTCTATGGCATAAACAGGTGGAGACGCCCAGAAGGCAGGTGGAAATTTGGTTGTGAGGCTGATAAGAGAGCAGAGCTAGAGTATTAGGTTTGGGACTGAATCCAGGGGAGTTGGTGACATCATGCAGAGCAAACATGCAGAGGGAGCCTAGAGGAGAGCAAAGACTAAAGCTAGAAACTAGGAAAGCAGAGAATTTAAGGAAAGGAATAGAAAAAGAATTAGAGTAGTCAAAGAGGAGAACCAGTAGACAGTAATATTTTGGAAATTAAAGCAAAAAAAAAGTTGTTTGCAAATGAGTGTGAATCAAAATACGAAATTAATTTGACAATCAGAAGATGTCATGAATAGTATCATAGAGTGGTGGTTGAGGAAGTAGAGAATGAAAATACAAATGATATTAAATGGAAAATGAGTTTTTCATGGAAGTTGTTTTAAAATGTACTGTTGGATTCATTTAGTCAATGAAGAATAATAAACACATTTAACATTTTTATTGACTTAGAGCAGTGATAGCGAACCTTTTGAGCTCGGCATGTCAGCATTTTGAAAAACCCTAACTTAATTCTGGTGCCGTGTCACGTATAGACATTTTTTGATATTTGCAACCACAGTAAAACAAAGATTTATATTTTTGATATTTATTTTATATATTTAAATGCCATTTAACAAAGAAAAATCAACCAAAAAAATGAGTTTGCATGTCACCTCTGACACGCGTGTCATAGGTTCGCCATCACTGACTTAGAGCTATTGTTATGAATATTTTATTGTGCTTTACATATGACAATTTTTATTATTATAGGTAATATTTACTAGGCATATGTCATATAAGAACCACCATCCTGAAGATTATAAATGTTTAAGTTATGCTGATTGAATTTAAATTGTAATTTCACCACTTAATTGATCTTGATCTTGGGCAAGATGTTTGACTTTTCTTTGTCGCAGTTCCCTCTCTTTAAAGATAGGGGATTTTAATAATGACCTTAACAAGGCTGTTGTGAGGATTCTTCTCCCTCTCTCCCATCCTCCTTCCCTCCCTCCTCCTCCATCATACTCCTTTAGATGCGATCATATAAGCTTTTCCCACTTTAATCTATTAATATAGTGAATTTTATTAATAAATATCCTGTTATTAACCTTACTTAGTTGTGGCCTCTTAGTCATCGAACGTACTTCTGAATTCTGAATTGATAATATTTTTTTAAGATTTTTGTACCAATACTTATAAATGAGATTAATCTTTGTGTGAGTGTTATGTTGAGTCAACTGAAAGAATGTAAAATGCTTCCTTTTTTCTCCAGCTGGAAAAATGTAAATACTAAAATGATCAGTGCCTTCAAGGTTTGAAACAACTCATTGGTGAAATGTCTCTGATGCTTTTCTCTCTCCTTCGTATTGTTCAAATTTTAAGCAGATATGAGAGCCAGTTTCTTCCCAGAGCAGTTTTAGTTTCCATTTGTCTTCCTTCCTGTCGGGGCTTGCTCTTCCATCCCCTCCTCTAATCCGTACCACCACATCTGTTATTTCCTGACACTTGATTTTTCTCCTGCCTCTTCCTTCTTCCCTTGGCTTCCCCCTCTGACATTTTCCATGGAGCTTTTAGCCTGTAACTGTGGTTAGTCATCCAGTTTTCTGGGTTTTGAATAATCTCCATCTTCAAACTCCATAGCTGTTTTATTATTTTCCACTTCTCAGAGTGTTTTCCACTGCCAGACATCCTCCTGGACTTATTTTTTAATCCCAGAGTTAGACTCTGTTCTCACTCCTTGAAAGTGCCAAAACATTAACACCCATATATTTTTAAAGAAATTATTATATTACTACTGGCCTATGATAATGAACCTCTTACTTTATTTATATTCTGTTTAAAAATATCACGATAAACATAGCAAACCAAGCACCTCAACTTGCTTTGCCGTCCCTGCACAACCTCCTGCCTGTCTCCTCCAGCCTCACCGGTGCCTTTGCTTTCTGTGCTGAAGACACACTGACCTCTGTTGTGTCCTAGGTCAGTGATGGCGAACCTATGACACGCGTGTCAGAGGTGACATGCAAACTCATTTTTTTGGTTGATTTTTCTTTGTTAAATGGCATTTAAATATATAAAATAAATACCAGAAATATAAGTCTTTGTTTTACTATGGTTGCAAATATCAAAAAATTTCTATATGTGACACGGCACCAGAGTTAAGTTAGGGTTTTTCAAAATGCTGACACGCCGAGCTCAAAAGGTTCGCCATCAATGCTCTAGGTTGTGCTGTGCTTCCTCCTGCCGCAGGACCTTTGAATATGCTCTATTGGAACACCCTTCTTATTCTTTATCTACTTAATGCAGTCATTCTTCTGATCTCAGCTCAAATGTTACGGCCGGTGGAAATCATCTCTGACACAGACCTCCTCCATCCCATATTAGGTCAGTTTCTCTGATTCTATTCTCTCATGGTCTCTATTTTTTTTTTTCTTCAGAGCATTGTAATTACTTACATACTTAGTTGGTTCATAACTGTCTCCCCTACAAAGGTGTAAACTTTCACAAGGACAGGAATTATGTCTGTTTTACTCACCAGTGTATTTCTAAAATGTGTCTAGTATATTCATTCAGTAATGATTTATTTTTTGGTACCTTTTTGTGTATCAGGCACTATTATAGGCATTGGTGATACCGCAGTGTACATTCCTATAAGGAAAAACAGTCATTCATGTTCTAAGCTGTCAGAATAGTAAGATCTCACTAAACAGAAGAGTCTTGCCTTCATCGTAGGATTAAATTAGCCTAGGTTTAAGGCTATTCTAGACTCACTGTTAAAAACTAGATTTGAACCTGATCCATAAGTTATTTAACCACCTGCCAAATAACAAATATCAACATAGTTTAGGGGAAGATAGCAAAATTCAAACATTTAACAAAATAGTAAACACAGTGTCTTGTATTCAATAAAAAATCACTAGACATTTGGAGCAGTAGCAAATTGTAACTCATAGCAAGGAGGAAATTAGGTCAATTGCAACATACATATAAATGACAGGTAGGATGCAGTAAGCAAAGAAAGACTTTAACATTGCTCTTATAAATATTATAAGTATACTCACAGACATGGATATAATCAAGACATAAGTGAAAGATATAACAGTAATCAAAGACACAGAAAAAGCATTTGACAAGATGCAACACCCTTTTGTGATAAAAATTTAAATATAAATGTGTTTGCTGTGGGAATAAAGGGAGGAAGGCATTCCAGGTAGAAGAAACAATATTAGCATTATTGTGGAACCTTGTAGCCATTTGGTGAATACTATATAAAATCACTCTAAATATGCTTTAGCTATGAAAGATAGTGTTCTTTTTGTCTCATTGGTAAGTTTGTTTTACTTAGTGATATTACTTTATTTTGAATTCTCTGTTAGTAGTCTAACTGTCAACTAACATTCATTTGTATCCAGTTGGAGCTTAAAAGAATCCTGGTCAGTTTGTTAGAAATAATTCCTAGGTGGCCAAGGAAGCCAGTCCAGGCTTAAAATTGATGATATGCTGCTTACATTTTTACTATAGCAGAAAAAGTTAAGAAGTGCTGACATTTATGGCGAAGCCTAAGTAATTAAAATAATGTTTTTTGTTTACTTGTTTCTAGAAATGCAGTCAATGGAACATGACAGTGGCCAGTTAAAAGAACTTCAAAAACAAAAGAGTGAATTAATGCAGGAACTATTTACTCTGCAGAGAAACCTTAAAGGTCATACTCTATGTGTTCGTTTATTTTGCCAATGAGTATATTCATATACAAAAGATAGGGTCATATTATTCTTTCAAAATGTATCAACCTATTGGGATATAGTGCTATTATTGGTATAAAGAAAGAAATAGGTAAAACACTGAATTAATCAGTGTTAGATCTGATTTTTCCAATAGTTTTTGAGAGAAAGAGAGAGAGAGAAGCATTGGTGTGAGAGAGAAATATTAATCAATTGCCTCCCACACACATCACCAGGGATCAAACCTTCAACCTAGGCATGCACCCTGACTGGGAGTAGAACCCACAGCCTTTTGGTGTATAGACGATGGTCCAACCAACTGAGCCACCAGAGGTTTCTTAGACTTGGAAGTTGACATTTGGGGCCAGGATGTTCTTTGTGGTGGGGAACTGTCCTCGTAATGTAAGATGTTTAGCAGATATTTTTAATGTCTCAGGTTTTGTTAATAGCATTTTTGTGCCTTTAATTGCTATATTAAAGTAGAAAAATAAAAATCATTAGTATATACATTTTATATGAAGCAGCAAAAATTAGGATTGTTCTTATGAATGAGTAAAGATAAACTTTATGTTTAATTTTTAAAAGACTAAGAATTTTCTTAATTGTTTAGTTTTTGAAGAGAAAAAGAATGAAGCCATTTGTACTACCAAATACCTAGAGGCAGAAAAAATAAAAATCAGTGAAAAGCCTCAAAATGATGCTGAATGCTTACGGTAAGAATTGCCCATTACACTTTGGTATAAAATCTGGTAATTTTTCAAGTTGTCAGATAGATTTCAGCATAAAGCTAACTGCATAGATTTTTTACAGTTTCAGATGAAGACATTATTTTTTCTCTGTGTATTCTGAAATGTGGTAATAAGCAAGCATGTCACTAGCTAGAAAGTGCTTCATATAAGTTTCATGATGCATTGAGTTGATAATGCTGGAATCAGTTTTATCGTTTCTTATACCTCCTGTGTTCAGTGTTATTCACATCCTAATGGATTAAGACAAAGATTGGTCCCACAACTCTCCTTTCTTTTATCCCTGACTTTTCTTTTGGAAATGATTGGAATTATTTTTTATCTTTCTAGTTTTCAGTGGGGAGGGAAGTCACCATCTACTATTTTGCTTGGAATTTGTTACTCTGGTTTTGTGCCTAAAGAATGAAGCTGTATTTTCTGTATGGAATATTCAGATGCTTTTTATGTGTTTGGATAATGAAAGAGTGGCTGATGTTTAAAATGAAATAGTCATATACACAAGGAGGAAAAAGAAAACCCAGTTTATTAATTTGACTATTCTTTATTAATAATTCAGTGTTATGTTTGCTGGTTTAATTTAGAGAAGTTTCTATATTTTCTAGACTCAACCAGGCTTAGAATAACCAAAGAAACCTCATTACTGAATCTCTGAAGAAGCAAATGAAGCCCTCTTTCACATAAATCATATAGGAAATATGTCCACTGGAGCTGAACAAATGCTTCATATTAGTAGTGTATCGCCTTAGGCCATAATTTTAGTAGATTATGAGAAAATATTTGCAATTTAATTTTATGTTAAGTTTTGTAAGCATGAAATATCAATCTCCTGGGTGATATGTGTGATGCAGAATGAGTTTCTGTAATGACAATCTGCTCATTGATTTTTTTACACTTTTAAAAATGGTAATGCCCACTGGTATCATAGCTAGTAGTGTAAGGACTTCTGATAGGACCTCCAGTTTGGTGGGTTTATCACTCATCATAAAACTGTGCCCTGGGTTGAACTTAACCACACAGAGTCTGTTAGAGCGTACTTTCCCTTACTGACTACCCAAAGAGGGACTTTGGGAAGAAAGGAGCATTGGTCCATATACCCAGGCTGTTCTTTGGAGTTATTACAGGAAATGCCAATATTTATCAATTCCTACTTTAAACTCTGATATGTGTACCTTAGTTTCCCTGCTGGTATAGTCTGTAAAAGTTATTTTGAGTGTGAAGAGCAGAGTCAAAGTACTGAGTGTAAAATTTTTAGGAAAGAGGGCCTTCGGTCCTATAAATTAGTTCATAACAAGACACTAATGATGGCAAGCAATGATGTGACATTTATGCAACTTTATCATGAAGGCCCTCATTAAAGTTCAGTTGGTTTTATCCCTAAATTTTGGAAGAGAATAGTCTTTTTCATCTTTTTGTTCAAATGTATACTAAATTTTGTAATAGTAGCCTTTTCCTTAAATTTTCAGGTTTAGCTACTACTGGTATGGCTGTTATTTTTATAGGTGGATAGGAGGGTTTCTCAAACTTGGCAATGCTGACATTTGGGGCCAGGTTGTTCTTTGTGGCGGGGAACTGTCCTACGTAGTGTAAGATGTTTAGCAGCATCCCTGCACTCTATGCACTAGATGCCAGTAGCACCCATCACCCCCAGCTGTGATGCCTAAAAGTGTCTCCAGACATTATTGCCGACTGTCCCCTGCACACAAGGATATGAGGGAAATCGTCCACATTGAACAACTGGCTTTATTTTAAGGTTATTATAATTATACTTTTATTAAACGTTGGTAAGACAGCAATTATAAAAAAATTAATATTAGTTCATTTCAATGAGCGTATTGTTTCTACTTTTAGTAATTAAGATTTTTTAACATGTTTTTATTGATTTTAGAGGGAGAGGAAGGGAGAGGAATGACAGATAGAAATATCGATGAAAGAGAAATATTGATTGGCTGCCTCTTGCACAACCCCTACTGGGGATGGAGCCTACTACCCTGGCATGTACCCTGACTAGGAATCGAACCGACGACCTCCTGGTGCATGGGTCAACACTCAACCATTGAGCCACACTGGCTGGGCAGTTAGAAAATTTTGATACATATTTTATTCTATCTATATTACTGAATTCTTTTATAATTATTATGTGTTTTTTAAGTTAATTTGCAATGTTTAGGTTATTTGTTAAACTCTATCTTGATGCCGTCCATGAAAGTAGAGAACAGTACTTACCCTCACGATGGTTTCATGATCTCTGCTGTAGGTGATCTTTCCGTTTTTATAAATACCAAGATGTCTGTCTATTTAAGAGTCTACATGGGAGTGTGTGGGCTCATTCATGAACAGGTGTGAAGGCAGCTAATGTGTAGAATATTGCTCTGCTCCACACGTCAGCCAGAGGCTTCCTCGGAAGCTTCCCGAAGGGGTAAAGCTGTGACGAGCTAGTTCTTTCATGTGGTCCAGGCAGCACAGAGATGGTAGCGCTCAGGGCCTTGAGAGCAAGTACGCATAGAGGTTAGGAGTACAAGCCTTCGAAGCCCAGCTCTGGAAGGTGAGTGACCTCAGAGAAGCAGGAAAGAAGAATGTGATAGATTTGACTCTGAACACCTATTATTTTTTTTATTATCCAACACCAGTCACTAAAATATAGTTCTAGGTCACAACTTTTTATTTACTTCAAGTGGTAAATATCTGGACAACTTGAAGCGTTTCAGGCATTGTCCTTACTCACAAAACTTCATTGTAGAATGGTTTTACATTTTTAATAAGCAATATTTGTGATTCTTCAAGGCAACAGGAAGTTTGTTACAGAAGTGAAACTGCATAGTAATCAGCCTGGGATATTTTCTTCTGTACATTTGAAGACAGAATGTTTTTGTAAAGAGCATATTTGCAATGAAAACTGTACAAAAAAAATTCTATTCTGATACCAAAGATACCAATAAATTTGGAAAGTGATTGATATTATATGTGGCTCGTAGAATAAGCAAACTTATTTCAAAGTTTAGGGATATTTACAACTAGGCCCATTTATATTGGAATATAAATTTTAAAACAATTAATTGATTCTGTCATCAAAATTGCCTTATTACTTAGCCCTATCCCATGTTAGTTTGTACTAATCAACTTCATTATCTAATGCCAATGTATAGAGATGCCATATTTATGCTACTTTTCTCCCATCGATGGATCACCAAGAGTTTCTAAATATTCATAATGAGAAACATTTTAATTCATGTATCTTTAAATATGTAGGGGAGTGTTTCTGTAACATTATTTAGAATAAGCATCATTTAGCAGAGTAGTAGAAAGGGTTGTCCAGGCTACTTTGAGAAAATAATGCACATTTACTTTGCAGTTCTCTCTGCCATCAAGAATGAGCTCAAAATGGACAAGTGTAACAGGATCTCAGTTTTAAAGTTTCTGGAAAATACTAGCCAAAAATAATTATATGTCTAACCCATATCATCTCTCTCTTTTTAAAAAAAAAATATATTTTATTGATTTTACAGAGAGGAAGGGAGAGAGATAGAGAGTTAGAAACATCGATGAGAGAGAAACATTGATCAGCTGCCTCCTGCACACCTCCTACTGGGGATGTGCCCGCAACCAAGGTACATGCCCTTGATCGGAATCGAACCTGGGACCTTTCAGTCCACAGGCCGACACTCTATTCACTGAGCCAAACCAGTTACGGCCATATCATCTCTTCTTAAAAATTTTATAAAATATGAAAATTCCCACTTAATTCTAGGGTTATTCTTAGCTATGTATTTTGTTCAGTATTTCTGTGGACTGCATCTTTTCTGGTAAAGCTTCATTATTTATTCACTAACGGAAGTGTCTCTACAGCAGTGATTATATAGCTTTCAAGCTAATAGAGATCCCGTTTTGTGAATTCTTGCCACACACTATAGGCATTAAAGTTTCTATGTAAGTACAAGAGACATTTTGACAGTAGAATCAATTGATTATTTTAGAATTTATATTCTGATCTAAATGTGCCAGGTTGTAAATATCCCCAAACTTTGAAATAATTTTCTTTATTGCACGAGCCATATATAATATTAATCATTTCCAAATTCATTGGTATCTTTGATGTCATAATAAGATGTTTTTAAATTTTCATATGTTTATTTACCTTTATAAACAACCCCTTTTGATATGAGAGTGGGGAAGGTGATAGAAAATATGTGGTAAAAGGAGTTGCCTAATCCAACCAGCCCAGGATTTAGGTGAAGGAGATGATGGCGGATCTCGCTGGTGCTGCCTTGCACACCTGTGAAGGTTGCTACCTGTCTGCTGGTGGCCTGGACGGAGGGAAGGCATAATTAGGAAACTGAAGTTCTGCTTTGACACATTCAACTTTCAGAATAAATTGTATATGAAAGTGGATGCCCATATATCTTTTAAAATTGTGTTTTGTGTTTAAATGTCACTAAAATAATTTTTATATAAATTAATATAGAAACCCATCGGGTCATAGGAAAACTAGCAAAAAGTAGAAAGGACCACTTATTAAACCTCTGGTGTAATTAAGGAAACAAAAAAGGATAAGATTAACAGACTCAACATAGAAGATTTAAGATCCCATGTGTTAAAAAAGTCATCAACTTAGAGTGATAAACTTCGAGAAATTTATAGTAATTATTACTAACAAGGGATAACAGTTTATCAAATAATCAACTGACAAAAATCAATAAGAAAACACTGAAATCAATAGTTCTTTATTAATGTATATATTCAACAGACATGTATTAAATGCCACTTGGAATCATGCACTCTGCAAATTACTGGAAATACCAAGATGAATAAGATAAGATAATTCTGTTAAACTGCTTATCAATTAAATGCGAATTAAAACCACTCAATATAATTTTTCTATCAAATTTTTAGAGACATTCTTAAATGACCATAATTGAAATTAGCATGGGTGTGGTACAGAGCTAATTTATACATTGTTGTGGCAGTATAAA